CTTTCGATTCATTCATGAGGTCGCTTCTAGAAAAAGAAGTAAGACTAGGTAGGGAGGGAGAAAGAAGAAAGATGGCACGAGGGTGTGGAGATCCCCGTTGCGATATGGATATACAAGGTATCGGAATAGAAGATGGAAAAAGAAATGAATGAATGAATGAATGGATGGATGATTGTATGAATGGAAGAATATATGAGAAAAAGAAACAGAAACAATATGTAATCACATGATGAGTTTTTATTTTATTTTCTTTTCTTTTCTTCAGAGTACGAGTATATCATACGTCAAAGGAAGAGAAAGCGAGGAAGGAAGGAATAGATAAATCCAAAATGGGGTATATTTATTTATTTCTCAATTGATTTCTCGATTTTAAAGAATGAAGCCTTCCTATTCGTGCGCATCGAATCGACTCGTCGCATGTAAGATCTTATATATGTACACGATGTACGGAGCATGTATGTAATCTACACACGACACTATCCACGGTACATGGGATTTACATACCAAGTACCTCGGTATGGGATCAGAAAAGCACTCTCTCCGTATTGGTACGGAGAGACCGTGAGTGAGTGATACGCCTCGTCTCGGATGCGATGAACTCCTAGTGAGATACTGGGAGGTAGCTGGGTAGACACTGGATGGCCTTGCCCACCAGTGATCGCGCGACTTGATGATGGGGTTGGGAGGGGATGATATGATGGGGATGGGATGGGATTGAATCATGAGATGTGCAAATTATGTATGTACATTCATTCATATACGATGTATATCTAGACATGACTTGTTTACTATGATTCGTGTGGATAATTTGAGGGGACGGCGACTGGTACTGGTACTGGTACTGGTAATGGTAACGGGCAAGACAAGGCGTAATTGTGATGTGATTGGAAGTAAAACAAATACCCAAGTATGGAGTGGAAATATACCCAGGAAAACGTTGATCCGAAGTATGGATGGCGAAATAATAGAAAAGCAAATAAAATAAAATAAAGTAAAATAAATAAATAAATACATATCCCTGCATCACTCATATCACATTATTTATTTATTTAATTATTTATTATTATTATTATTATCATCATCATCATCATCATCATCATCATCATTTAAATATCCCCCTTCCAAGCTTTCCCATCAACATTTCCATCCCCTGGCACTTGGAAATTGAGAACATGGGATCGAAGCGAAAAATACCCTTAACAGGCGCCACGGGTCGCTTGGATCCTCGTACCGGCGGTTGAGCACCGGGAGATTCGAGGAGATTGGGATACGGGGGTGTGTTTATTTATTTATTTATTTATTTACCTACCTGGATGGAAAACGCTCGGGGCAGGGCGCAATACTTTGGGGAGGATGGGTGTGTGATTACTTGTTTGTGTGCTTGTGTGCGTGATGAGTCTGTCTTAGCCTGAGCTGGAGCCGGTGCCTGAACCGAAAATTGGGAGAGCTGGAAGAATTGAATTGGGCTGTTTTATTTGTTCTGGAATAGGTACCTCGTAGGTGGGAGTTGGGAAGCGGAGATGGGAAATGGAGATGGAGATGGGGAATGGGAAATGAGGGTTGTGGATGGAGGATGGGTGGTAGGTATACGTTTGTATGGCTTTGATAGAGAAAGGGAGATGAGTAAATGAATCGTTAATGAAGGATATCACAGATTTGATTCAGGTGGTGAGCTTTGATGCATTTGTGATCTTTTGAAGGATATCATAAATGGATGGATGAATGGATGGATGGATCGTCGTCGTTGTTGTTGTTGTTGTTGTTGTAGTGGAGTACAAAGTCATGGAATGGAACGGTTATGGAGCAAGCGCTTGGGGTTTTTGCGTACGCTGTTTGCGTAGCTGGTGTACGCTACCTGATGAGGAGACGAATTGGGAAGTATACGTGTTTTGGATTTGGGGTTGGGGTTTGAAGGTTTGAGGGTTTGGTGGATGGGTGTGCTATTTGTGTGCGTGCTATGTATGTGCGATTTGCGATGTGGGTGCAATGTGGTGGGTGCTAGGTGTGTGCTAGGTGTGTGCTATGAGTGTGCTATGTGTGTGCTATATGTGTGCTATATATATACTATATATGTGCTATGTGTGTGCTATATATATACTATATATGTGCTATGTGTGTGCTATCTAATATAATGTGCTATGAGCTCTACTACTACAGAGAAGAAGTTGAATAGAATGTTTGAGCTTTGTGAAACTTATCTGAGGACTCAGGATTCCCTGTTTACTCCAGCCGCACGCAGAATATTGTAACTATAATTATCTTATCATATTTCACTCTGTGCTAGCAATATGCCATGTGTTATGTACTATCTATGCGTCTACCAATGTGTTTGAGAACGCACGTATGGGGAGATATATTGACTGAGTCGTGAATTCAGGATCAATAGTATCACTCGCATAAATACACTATCAAATGTATATTTTCCATACCATTGAATTCTAGACCGATTTGAATCAATTCAATGAATGCATGATATCGATTATCAGTTATTCATTCGACTCATTGTTACATTCCAATGCATAGCATAGGATACTTATTGCAGGTACTCTGTATGAAATGCATACCTCGTGGAATTTAGAGGTTCATGCACTCCACAAAAGCACACCACCCCTTTTTCCCAAAATAGCCAAAAGGCTCCCTAAGCAAGTCAAAGACCCTGGGTCGTCCCGAGAACGAAAGCTTGTCGGTCCTCTCATTCACTCCATTCAAACTTCGCTCCAAAGTATCTGTTACCCAGTTCTTCCCAATTCATTCGTGGATAGTTTCACATTCCCCAGTCATATGTAATGTATACGCAAACGTCATTTATATCATCTCATCCAAAACATCACATGAATCTAATCTCCTTTAAACTTTCGCAAGCACCGAGAAATAACCTTTTTGGACCTCCTGGTGCTCTCTTAGACTTTTCCTTCCCGCGGTCGTGGCGTTTCTAGTCTCCATCCCCGGATTCGATTCTTCCCCTCCCCGAGTCCCTTCGAAACTATCCGGCTCTAACATGTCCATTTCTCATGCACTTTCAGTATAGCTTCAAACAAGCTCATCTCCCACCTATCCAGAATCGATTGGGAAATCTTCTAGAAACCCTTCCTGGAGGCCCAATTTGGTTGGACTTGCCATACTATGCTGGGTACGCATTGATGTGATTTTGATTCTATTGATTAACGAACCGGTATCACTGTTTCCGCGACCCGTGGATTGCTTTATGGATGGGAAGTGGTTGATCTCATTTCTTTTCGGGGATCTCTGTAAGGGAATGATTCAAAGTCTACTTTGAAATTGGGGATTGAAGGTAGAGATGAGAAACAGGGGTTTTTCTTTTGTCTTTGGGTAGATATTCATTCTTTTCCTTCGGATTATTATTATTATTATTATTATTTATTTATTTATCTTCGAATATTTTCGAATATTTTTATTCGATATTTACTTGGGTTTATTTTCATCTACGAGAGTACGAGATTTGAGTCGGGATCATCAGAAGTGGAGGATTTGGAACCACGGAAGAAATACTATATCGAGTATTCCGACACGATCAATTCCCAGCAAAATTGCACGCGTTGCTCACTCACTCATTGCTTCCAGATGGTTACAAAAGTCCCTGCAGGTTATAGAAGTGAATATAGCCTGCGAAAGACTACTACCCTTTGTGCATACGGACCTACCTGCATGCAGATATATAACGGTTTTCTATTCTCAAGGCGGGTTCAAGTATATCATCGGAGAGGATGTCATATATGTTAGTATCACGCAGGTAGAAGAATTGATAGATGTCAATACATGTAAGACGAACAATTGGTAAGCAAGTAAACAATAGATAAGATTGCTACCCTTTGCAAAGCATGTTGAGCGGGGCTAGATGGGGAACCCAAAATCTCACCCGAGACGATGAGGCGTGTAAGCAAAAGATTTTATCACTTCATGTGATAGAGGAGGATGATACGGGCAGTGAGATGAGATGAGCTGAGCTGACATTCTTCAACGGGTAGTAACGGGTGATATCGCTCGGTCATTGAGTACTTGATGTGGTAGTTTGCTTGCGCGATGTATGTGAGGATGAGGAATATCACCGCGGAGGTGGATGGATACGGGGAAGAGAAGATGGCTCGCGGATGGGGATTTACCGTGCCGTGAGTAAGAGGGTGAGGGTAAGATTTTAGAAGGGGATATTGGAGGAATTGTGTGTACTGGACTGGGAGTAAAGTGTTCTCGCAATGATAGTAAGTATTCGATAACAACACAGATCTCTTTATTTCATAATGTGATGACAGCCGGTACTTCACTATATCAAGATACGTGATTGAATACAATATCCATCTACAGTACAATAGATAATATCTGCCTAAGGACTCCAACATCACCACCACACCAGCTGATTACTCTTGCAAACCTCCAAACCTTCCACTTCAAATCCCCTCGTATTCATTGGACGGAAAATTATCGGACCAATTTATCCGAGCGCCGGTAAAATGTGAATGAGCCGCCTGGCCGCAACACAAACACGAGATCAAGATTGGGTCTAGAATTTTTCACTTGATTTTTACTTTTTATCACCAGGGATCATTTTGCGGTCTGGACTTTTGCTCTTTACTCGAATCATGAGAATAAGACTTCGGGACAGAGAATAAGAACCTCACCGTCGTGTGTTTTAATGAAGTATAGTAGATTTGCGAGAGTATATCACGCTTCACTTCATCTCACATCACACAAGAGTCTCTTTGGATATGTTTAAAGGGTAAATAGACTTATGCAGGTACCATTACGAAATTGTTCACTATTTTCTCGATAGTTCTCTGACAAACCCCTCCCTCCTCGAATTCATTCAGTGATCCAATCATTCATTCGCTTGAAAAACATAAAAACACATCCGGAATCATCCAGACCATCCATCCATACCAAAATACGCATCCCAGAAGTTCACACTTCACATTAACTATTCATTCATATTATCCCAACCAACCACGCGACTCATATCAATTTAACCACACCAACACAATAGGGCATCAATACCCCGATTCTAAATCATGTGTCAAAACCCACGCGTGGTAATTGGCACCGTAGCGAAAAAGCGTGGTAGCCCTGTTTGTTTGCCCTACCAACCCCTGCTTCTCATCGCTTCCCGTTCTACAGATTGCCAATGGTGGACGATACTCCGGGATGAGGTCGCGTAAAGGGATCCCAGCAGCCGGACCAGTATCCATGTGGACTTTCGCACGGCGGTTTTTTTCGTTTGGGCCCATCCTGGGAGTGGGGATGTCAGGATGACTGGAGCTGGTATTCGGGCCGGTAGGGACTTCAAGCGCAATGTGGGATGCCTCCGAGGAATTGGAGCTGGAACTTTGGGCGTTGAGAGTCTGGATGCTGGATGCGTGTAATTGGGATAATAGAATTGCAGGGGATGGTTTGGGGATTGGGAATGGCTGGAATAGGAAATGCGGAGGGAGTGATTTGGGTTGGGATTGATCATGTGATTTTAAATCACGAGTGAGGAATTCCAGAGAGATGGAATACCTAGGTGAGATAAGTGCCGAGGTCTTATTGTTCACAAGTTACTCTCCGCTGACGACAAAGGCCATATCTGGATATCATGTGAGGTGCTTCTGGCTTCGAGATCAAGTGCACAGGAAATCATCGTCGTCGCAAGATTATCCATCGCAGAATACAAGGCAGCTAAATCTAGATGCAATTTATCTAAATCCCCAGTTCCAAACTCTTCCCTTTCATCTCCATCTCCATCTCCATCCCAATCCATCTTTCTCTATCCCACGAGGAACACAGGTTTGTGCTCCTTAATTCACGAACCGACATCTAGGATTTGAATCCCCCCAAGAATCCCAAGGTTGTCAAATTTCCAAATTTCCAAATTCCCACGCGAGTCATACAACATGCAATCTGGAAAATCCCATGTATAAACGTTACATGCGCTTTATCGCGATACAGAAGCGAGGTGTCAAAGGTGTACATGTTACATCAATTTCCTAATTCGATCTATCTCTCTACCGATGTTACGGGCGAAGGTACTCCACTCTCACGTTTATTTCGTCGGTTGGAAAGTTTGATGTGAAATGGGGGTTGGACCTTTGATGAAGGGATTGATAATGATAATCAATGGGTACTTGATACCCGTTATTGGGGGTCCGGATAAGAGATTATCGGGTAGGGGAATTGGTTCCAAAACGGAAGGTAGAGACTATGAGCGAAATCCTTCATATGCCAAAGCTGATTTGGTAGGTATAACCCCCACGAATATGTGTTGTAAAATTGATCATCGGCGGTAAGGTTATAGCACGTGTTCTAGGATGGAATGGACTTCAATTCAATCAAATCACGGGAACCCGAGTTTTCTCATGATGCCTAAAATCTGCTTGGGAACATAACGAAGGAATATTAGAAGACAAGACACAGTAAACGGTACGTGCAAACCCTATCTAGCTCTTTGCCTATCCCATAAATCACAATCTCTCATCGCAGATTCCCGAAACAAGCCAACACAGACAAATCAATCAATCTCAAAATGATCACAATCCACATCACACGTTTCTAGATAAAAATTACCTATCAAGCGATGAGCCCAGATCATCTGTCTGTCCTTACACCGTCTCTTCTATCCTTTCATTTATCCATTTATCCTGCTGATCCATGCTTCCATGTGTTCTTCCATCATTCTATCTACCTTCCAGACTATGTGTGCTAGGCTGGCACGGCTGGAAACACATCACTTAATTTCTTTCTTCCCTCCCAGAAGTAGTTTTCCGGGCTCTAGATTGTCTCACCGTGCTCAAACATCTGTGTTATTTAGATGGATAGGTGGGAATCAAAAATTGATGTCACATCACATCACGATGCATACATACAGGTAGACATGGTCCCCGGCGGTATTTGCAAAGAGCAAGGGGAGAAACGGGTTGGAAGTGAAAAGTTTCGCTTCCGAATATGCAGATGTGGAGTTTGGTGGGGATTGAATTGTTCCGGAATGATTTTTTTTTTCTCTCTCTCTCTCTCTCTCTCGGGTTTTCTTTTTGTATTACGATATTTTTGAGGATTTTGGGAGGAGGGGCGGACAGAAATCGAGTACCGGTCCCGACCGTTGGAATTGGGCTGCGCATGGGAGATGAGATGAGGCTAGGAATTTTAGCAAGCTGGACTGTGCTGTTTGGTTCATGGGACATGGAATTGGTGGACTTGGTGGAGACGGTGAGACAAGACATGTTAATTATACTCTGGCTCTTTGAGACAGACGGCTCGGCTGTACCATTTCACTTTTGGGTGGATTGACTTCCTACTGACGTATGTATTCTAGTGGAAAGGGAATTTGGAGTTGATTTAGAGTTTTCATGGAAATGAGAGGGGGGGATGACAATGTATTATTCCCATTGGTAGGAGGAATCGAAGCTGTTATATTTCTTCACTTGGGATGGAGTTTTTCCATACCAACCATGTCAGTCGCATGGTAGATGTGGAAAACTCAAATAAAGTATTATGTGTTTCTTTCATGCTTTCCTTCTTTACGGATCCCGAAATTTGGTGGGCGGAGGTAGTGGGCTGGCTGCATGTGCAGCATCGAGACTCGAGAAGCACGGATAGTGCAGCATGAAGTTATACGCATCTCGTGATTGGGAAAAAGGTATGGGTATGAGTATCGGTAATCTACATCCATCGAGATCGAGCAGTTTGGATTTGAAACAGAATGATGAGGTGGTATCGTTGTTTTGAATTTTCAATGCATGGTTGATGATTCTTTGATTGGGAAGATTTTGTATCGTTTGATTTACTTGAGTGAGAATATTGGAAATAATGGAAATGTTAGAAATATATTTAAATACCGTTTTTCGGGAAAAGTCATGTTTTCTTTCTCTGGTTTGGATATCGATTTCTTGGCGATGGTCTGATACTGGTGAGATTTCCTCGTAGAGATCACATCCATGAGTTTGAATCCCTCCTATCGAAATCTGGGTATCTATACATGCATGGTAAATAATACATGGTGTTCAAGAGATTATGGTCTTGGTGGATGATGCATGTATTACCGCGCAATTAAGTATACACTAAACTTGTCTTTTCGTTTGTGGTGTGTTGTTTATTTATTCATTCATCTATTCATCTATTCATTCATTCATTTATCTATCTCTTCATCTATCCTCTCAGGTCAACAATGTGGATGAGAAATCGAAATCAAATTTGGGACTCGGGAGTGAGATGGTGTTGGAGGAGAGAGATGATGTAGTGTAGTATATTGATTGTATGATGTAGAGTTTGAATGGATGAGAAGGGTTTGTAGGTTGGGTATGTATATAGAGAGAGAGGGGGGGGAGAGAGAGAGAGGGGAGAGAGAGAGAGGGGAGAGAGAGAGAGGGGAGAGAGAGAGAGGGGAGAGAGAGACTGTGTGTGTATGTGAGAGAGAGAGATATATATGTATGTGTGAAGTTTCTGACGTTGAGTCGGTCGATCGAATCGATTGATGTGATGAAGGTGAACGGATGGATGTTGACTGGTCGGTGGATAATGGGGGTTTGCGTAACGAGGGTATTGATTTGGGTGTGGGTTTGTGGTTGAGTTGGGAGTTAGAATGATGTGGATGGAATCTGTGTATTCTGTAGGATGTAGCACATGATATCTGCCTCCATTTTTCATCTTGGGATATACATATGTGTGTGTGATGATTACTTGCAGATATATATACATACATACCTATACATACGTAGCGATATCTTTCGATTTTTGGCGACGGAGATGTCTCCGTAAAGGTAGGTGCTTGTGTACTTATCTACTCACTCATCGATATTGCGAATACTATTTGGAGTTTCTGCATGGGTGTGTTTGTGTTCATATATTTTGAACTATGGGAGAGTGGTTAAGTGATTGCCGGATAGATGTTGTATCGTTGTTTTAGAATTTATCTGATGTATGGATTGAGGATGCTAAGAGTGTTTATAGAATATGGATATGATGATGGATGATGGATGATTAGGATCAAATTATACTGTGTCACCATATCTGCATCGAGTATTGAGAGGACCATACCTATCTATAGGTTCCAGTTTGTTCATTAGCTCTAGCTATAGGGTATTGTTCATATCGCGAAGATAATACATGAGCATACAGAATCAATCTATGTATTTACATCCACATACAATTTTCCTTCGCTCCAAAATCCAACGAGATTCTCATTCTATGATCTGGTAAGTAGATACTTACTTATCTACCTAGCCACCTATCTAAACACCCCCCAAAAAGATCGGTACCACAAAATCCACGCCGTGTACCTATCCATCATTTCATCATCCATCCACCGCTTCCGCAAGTGGGGTTGTGAGATATCAATATGCACTCCCACCCTCCCTATGCATACCAATATGCATGTGGAAAATCAAAAATGTGTGCATCTGTGTGTGTGTACACACTCAATCAATATTGTATCGCGTCCAGAGCTCGCGTTGTGATTCGTGCGCGTGGGGATGAGGGGAAGGTCCGGGGAAGCGAGGGGATGGATAGGAACATGAGGGGAAGGGAAGAGATGGCTTGTGTGTACCGGTAGGTAGGTGTGGATTACTTAGGGAATTGGCAAAAGTTGATTAATTGGTGATTAAATCTATTTGATTGAATAAATGAATTAAACTAATGTGTGTGGTAAATATTTGATGGATGAATGAATCGAGTGTATGTATGTGTGTATGTATATCTGTACTCTATCTACTCCATCAAACCCCCAAAAAGCAATATGAACCCATTAAAATCAAAAGTCTAGACTGATAAGCCAGGTCCAGCCAAGTTAAGCATACAAAAATAAATTAATTCATGAATTTGTATTGTTTTTTTATTTATTGGTCTATGTTGTTTTGTGTTGTAACATATCACCAAACCCGCAAAACAAAATAAATAAAATAAAATAATCCCTCCTCCCTCTAGGTATACAGACCACGATAATTCACGATAAATAAATAAATAAATAAATAAGTAATTTTCTACAACATACATATCCATACATTCATCCCCGGTTCTCGGAAAAGACACAACGCCGCCAACACGATTAATGAATACTTCACAAGGACTGTTAGCTAGCCCAGCCCGATATCTTGGCAGCGTAGAAAAAAGCAAGTAGAAAGAAAGGACATTCCAACACGAATTCGGTTTCGGGATTGCGTGCGTGTGTGCGTGCGTTTCGGATCGGGATCGGGATCGGGGTCGGGATGGATGGGTAGGTATTGGTAGATGTGAGAGGAAGGGGAAGAGTTTGTGAGATGTGATACCGAGGTGTGATGGTTGGGTATAGGAAAGAAAGGGGTGTGTTTTATTCAAGGGATAGTTTGGGTGAGATTAATATTTGTATACTTGTTTATTAATTATAGTTTTGCGGGGATCATTGCTAAAATGCACTGAGCTGGGTTGTTGGGATTCGTGGCTGTAACTTGTGGTGTGCGGAAAAAAGAGTGTGTGAGTATGTGATGTGAGTCCAGATGTTTTTGGTTGAGGGTCTATTGAGTCTAGATTTTTTGACATTTCGAGAAATGTATCGATGCATCAAGTGAACAAAAACGGTATCAAAATGATTTTGCAAGTACTAAAGTACCGTCAGAGTCTCAACCCAACCATTCCTCAACCATCTCAAGTCTTCTTCGCAGTCCCACCACCAACCCTCCTATACTTCCTCTTATCCTTTCTACTCATCCTCGTCTTATCTCTCGTTCCCTTTCCTCCCTCCCAGAAACTTGCTCCTCCCCTCCTCCGACTAATCACCCTCTCTCCACATCCTGC